CGCTATGCCAAAACCAGCTAACCTACTAAGGCTATGGGAGGAAGGCACCACCATGCATTTGTGTCACTGACTGCCACCAGAGGGAAAACAGGGGCAATGCATGACCTGACTCCGCCGCCGCAAAGGGCCTCTACCCTTTCACCCGGGCTTGACAGGTGCTGCACCGGCGACCTGCGGATTGGTTCACCCTAGAACCTAGATTAGAGTTCCCAAGCAGCCAAAGGAGAGGCACCAGGAACAAACCCACATGAAACAGGGAGCCGAACACCCAATCAGCGTTGCCGACAGCAACAAGGCAGAGCACCGGACGAGAGTTGTCGAAACGAAGGCACGGAATACACCGGAGAAGGCCAAGAGGATGCAGCACCACGCATCGGTCAAGGATAGGAGTCTCCATAGCCCATGGCACGAGAGAGGGAGCCCGATCGCCTCGCACCAGCGGCTGAAGCCCTCCACACCTGGACCCGAGCAAGCCGCCGAAGATGAGATCAGACCAATACAATCTGCCATTGAACCACCACCGACTCCACCACCACTTGAGCACTTACCTGACGACGCCTCCAGGAAGGATCACGCCACCAAGGTGTCGTCGTCGCCATGAATCGAGGAACTGAGGCTTTCACCCGAGCTACTGAGTGAGGTGGGAGGTGCAGGAAGCCCACCGAAGCCTTCAGCAAGGGAAACGGCGCCCAAAGGCGACGTCTTCAATGTGGCCGCCGCGCCGGCCAGGGGTTTCCCCCGGATCCGCACCCAACCACCAGATCCGCACACCCGCCATCCAGAAAATGGCGACCGGAGCCACTAGGGACAGGGGCGGCCCAAAATGGAGCAGATTGAGGTTGTGGACGCCGATTCTCCAAGGTACAGGCAACCTACGGGATGCCGCTGCAGCCGCCGACGCCCGCCACCTCCATGCCGCCCGGCGACCGGGAAGACAGCCCACCTGCACCCTGCGGCGCCACCCACCACATAGGCCACGCCGTTGGCCGCCGCCCCGGATACCGAGGCTCTCCACGCAGGGTGGAACCGCCGAGGTCCCCGCCGCTGGCCACCTTTAGTGGCGGCGGAGGGAGGGAAGGAGAAGGTTGGCCCCCAAGTCGCCTCGGAGGAGACGACTGGGGGGGGGGGGTACGGAGTAGTCCTTACTCTCTTGAGATTCTTTATTACATCATTTCATACTATGTGTATTCGATGTTGTAGATCATATCACATTTTTCTATAGAATTGATCAAACTTAACCAAGTTTGACTTAGAACAGATCATGGACTGCAATTATTTTGGAATGGAGGGAGTATGCCCTTATACTAGCTAGTAGGAGTACCATACTCATTACATTCATTAATAGTGTAAGCCATCCTAGAAAATAAAACATGCATCCAAATTCTAGTGTTTTGGCTATTGACACATACAAATTATTTTTATTGAAACATACATATTTTCATGAAAATTAATTTATAACTCCATAAATTCATGAAATGATAATATGCAAAAACTCCCTTGAATATATGACCTGTGTCGTGAGCAAAAGTTGGCAAGAGAGATATCCTTGTATCTTTTGTAACAAGTCATCTAGGTTGATTTTTTTTGCTCGCTATCATTTTATAATGTTCCCCAAGGCCATGAATCGGTTCATATATTTTAGAACTTTAAAAGATGAAAAATGTTTGTTTGATTAATTGGGTACTTATATACGTCCATAGTTTCAATACGTGATGAAAAAACAATTGATATTTTCTGACTAAGGGCAATATTTAATGTCAAGATGATATCAATTATGCCTGGACTTTGCAACTATAAAATGTCAAGTCTAGATATCACGGATATACACAAAGTAAAAAGTGAAGAGGAAGAGGAGAAAAGAACAAAGTGAGCCCAGGCGTCCGTCGACTTGCAATAGAGAAGCAATCACGCCATCTACTGTCCTTGAAAACACACCAACTACAAGACAGGTTCTTCGAAAGCAATGCCTCCAGAAAGAGAGTGACAAATAGGCAGCTGTTGAGGGTCAGATCTTAGGTTTTCACCCCGGACAACATGTCTGAGCATATGCCAAAGCAATGTCTTCAACAACGACATGACACGTAAACACCAGCATTGCGAGGTGCAACCATTGGAGATCGGCCCTAGGGTATTCACCACGAAGCTCAAGATATGGTCACCATGTCTTGTCGCCATCCCTTGCCGAAGAATACGAAGCTACATGAAGGGGCACTCACATCTTGGTCACCGAAAATTGAAATTGGAACCATTCCATGGCGTACATGCCTGAAGGTAGCCTATTAATCGTGTGAAGGAGGGGTCCTCAGACTCAACCTAGCAAACTTAGAGCTACATAAGAGGTTTAGGAGCTCTAGAGCTCTTCCATTGAATTTATGTATATGAAGGTGAATGGGAGTACATGCCCATAGAGGCCCGTGTAGGGAAGAATGGCCAACGCTACCCTCAGTGGTGGTAGGTCGGAGGGGTAGTATGGTAAACCTGGGTTTATAAGTCCATGAAGATTAGTCAAAGTTAGTATATCCATATTCCATCGTGCACCATTCCCCTTCATCCATGCATGAATGGTCCTTTGGCAAGTAGGACCTCATTATGCTTTGTGCTCCTTTACTGCTTGCCTACGTCATTCATTGTGTCCATTTTTTTACCTTCTCCTTTGACTTGTTGATCATGACTATTTGCTTAGACTTACCTTGATGGTCCTCGAGCCTTGTTGATTAAGTTGGACTTCGGTTGACCACCTTGGATCTTTTTTTCGAAAATGATTCATATATATTATAAAAGTTCACCAGAAGTACAAAGCGGTCCAAACATAATAAAAATTACATCGACATCCCTAGAATAGCAATGTAGAACTATGTAAAAGCCGCATAAGGTTATTTATTTTGCATCGACAAGACTCTCATTCTTATCCACCCGATTGGTATGCGCTCTGAGGTCATGTGGCACATATCATTTCATGTTCATAACATTCAGTACCTATTCTAAAGAAAACATTCAGTGCCTAGTCAGCGTCTAGCCTTGCCTACTTCAAATTACCGGAGGAGGTATCGACTGAGTATAGGCAAATGTATTGTTCCTTCTCGGGTTCGGGTGCCATGTAATGCTTCACAGTTCACACACACACAATTTATGGTACAAAGAGAATATTCTTGGGCCGACTGCAGCAGACCCAAACAATGATATATAAATACATGATATTTTAGATAGTAATTTTTAAGTTCATTTTGCATATAAATATATTATACCACTTTGTGTTTTTCCTTACCAACATAATCATATATTAATTGCATGCGGATATTAGGTGTATGATATTATTCGTGTGTTAATTATGGACATGTATATTAATTGGGGGAAAACAATGACAACCATGGAGTTTCTGCACTTGGATGCATATGCACCCGGGTGAACAATAAAATCAAAAGAAACAAAGAGTTTTTTAAAATTAAACATTATTTATTTTTTCACCAACATGCAAAATTTCGTAGTAAATTTTTTTTTGTAGATGTCTCGACAAAAAAAAAGAAAACAATGTTTCAAAAAGGGCTCCAGACCTGCCGGATGTTTTTCATCACAAAACTTTGCATGCTGGTAAAACATTCAACACTGATTATTAAAAATCAGATATTTTTTCTTATTTTTTACAAAATTTAATCTTCATCCACGTCCATATGCACCTAAAAGCAGAACAACACTTCCGAAACTGTGAATGCATTTGATACATGTAAGCACTTCACTTTCCACATATGAAGAATGATGCTCTCACATTTACGAGAGAGCTACCATACTAGTTGAACAACAAAACAAATCACTGCTTGAGTGCTTGTTTCAACTAACCGGAAATAAATAAGAAAATGAAATGAACACAACTACACATACCACACAATCGTTCCACGCATAAAAAAACTAAAATAACTAGGTGTTTTTTGTTTGTCAAAAGTTAGAAGATCTGATGTTTTTAATGCCGACACGAGGAGCTTCTTCTTTTAGTTTTTTCAGTGCAACTTATTTTATTTTATTTATTTATTTATGGAAAACCCCTTTTCTTTTAGTTTTTCATTTAGGGGCAGTATAGATTAGTAAATGCCTACATGCAATGCACGTTAATATTAGGTAGTATATTAACTGCATGTGGATATTATGTGTATGATATTATTTGTGTGTTAATTATGTTATTAGTGTTTGGGATGATGTTGTTGCATGCTAAACACGTTGAGCGCTCGCCGTTGAAGCAGTCAAGATCGTTGGATTGACCTGGATTGATGGGCGTGATCAGTTAGATCTGCCCCTTGGGTCTTTTTGATATTGGATTTTTAGCAAAATTTATATTGGCATAGTAGAAGAGTTTTTTTTAGACAAATATATAGCTGAAGAGGTTTTTTAAGACAATTTTTTTTTTGAACCAGGCTTTTTGACCCCTTTCCATTGCATCGAACGGAAATACAACAGTCCCAGAAACATGTTCAGAAGGAAAGAAAAAGGAAAAGTTTGTTAGCTTCTAAAAAAAAGATGAAGAGTTTGTTAGCTTCTACAAGAAACCTATAATGGGCCAAGCTATGCGAGCTTTGACGATCCAATCGTAGGCCGTCGTCCTATTCACCCCGAGCCCAGCCAAACTCTACATTATCTCCAGACCGGCCGTGCCGCCTCGGCAAAGCTTCAACCTTTGTCTCAAAGAAAAAAAAGGCAAAGCTTCAACCGTACCGTATCTGTCTCGCTTTCCTTGAACACAGATCGATCTACTATACGGGAGATTCGGCGGCATGTCATCGCCGACGCATCGAAACCATCCTCCGGCCATGACCGCCGACACCTCGGACGACGAATCCCCGTGGCGGTGCCTGCTGCAACCAGACGTTGTTCGGCTGATCGGGTGGCGGCTGCTGGCCAGCGACCTGCTCGACTATGTCCGCTTCCGTGCCACCTGCCGGCATTGGAGGTCCAGCACCGTCTCCCCACGCGGCAGTGGCATCGTCGATCCACGATTCCATCCCCGTCGGTGGATGCTGCTGCCACAGGGGCACGGGCTTCACCCTGGCAACGGCGTGCTACGATTCTTCAATCTCTCGACAGGGATCTTCGTCCGCGCCCGGCTCCCGCTTCTCACGGATCATCACGTCCTCGACTCGCCCGATGGAGTCCTCCTCCTGCAACACAATCTCGACGACGACGCCCCAATTCGCGTCCTCAATCCTCTCACCGGCGACACCGCGGAGCTCCCCGCGCGCACGCCTTCCGTGGAAATCTATTTTGATTCGCTCATCAATGATCAAGAGCATGCCGCCTCCTTGAGCGTCGGTGCAGACGGAGTCGCCATGGTCGCCGTCGTACCATTCAGTCTGTCGACTATAATACTTGCTACCACGAGAGATCGGCGTTGGAGGGTCGCAACATGGAACCCGCGATATATGGGAGTGCCATCAGTATCATTCCAAGGAAAGATATACGCCTTGCGAAGTTCCGCGGAGGTGGGTACATATAAGAGGACAGTGCAAATTTTCCAGATCGAGCCACAGCTGATGCGGATAGGTCCATCCTACCCAAAGTTGATTGCATCATGTACAATTGGTGGAATCGATGACTCTTTTGATCTGGTAGAATGTGACTCGGAAATCCTGTTGATCCATACAAAATACAGTGCGACGTCTCCTGAATTTCTAGTATACAAATTAGCCGACCTTATTCTGGGTAAGCTTGTCCCGGTGACAAGCATAGGGGGCAATGTTCTCTTTGTTGATGTCGCGAGGAGACAGAGTGTGAGTTCCCGAGCTATGCTTGGCAATGGCATTACAGGTGACGCCGTTGTCTATCTTGTGCCCTCGTATGGCCGTCCTCAACAGTACCAGATCGGTAGTGGTACATGGTCGGATGTAGCAGGGGATGTCTCAGATGGTGGGACTGTGTCGAGGACTTATAGCCTCGTTGACCATATGTACAACTGTTGCGATTGTGCCCGTTCAAGCAGATGAGTAAGATTTATTCTTCATCGCTGATTAGGTTTTTGCTACTGTACTCGCTGAACTAATTGATTTCCTACGTATGCAGAGGTGAAACGTAGAAGTGATATTTATAGAAGTGATGAGATGGCCACATGGGGTAAGGCTTGATCTGCAATGCTTTTACTGGTTCTCCCAATGTATGCATGTATCTCTGGCTTGGTACAGAGCTTAACGAACTAGAGTACTTCTCCAAAGTGTGATGCGTGTAGATATGCGTGATGCGTGTGGAAGTCTTTTCCTGTTATGTCTGACCACGTGTGTCATTTTGGCAGGTGTAAATTATCGTTTTCCCAAACCCCCGGCACCGTACTACGTACTCGCTCCCCCGACTCCCGTGCCGCTCCCGCGGGCGGCCCGGGAGTTAACCCTAGCCGCCGCCGCCAGTTCCTCACCTCCGGCTCTTCTTCCCTCGCCGCCGCCGGCATGGGTCGCCGGGCAAAGCCCGCGCGGCCTGGCGGCGGCGGGGCCCTCTCCACCTCTATTTCGGGGCTTCGCGGCGCGGGCCGTTGGCCTCGGCGGGAGCGTGTGGGGTCGCTCTGCTCAAGGCAGCGCGGCATGTCGACGGCGCGGCGCAGGATGGCCCTGGCGCGCAGGTCGCGACGCGGGTTGGTTCTGGCGCGCAGGTCGTGGCGCGGACGTGAGCGGATCTGGCGCCTGGAGGGTTCACGGTGGGCGGGGCGTCTGCGCCAGGCCTGGAGGGCGCGCTGTGGTGCGGCTCGGCTGCGCATGGAGGTGCAGCGCGGGCGTGGGAGGTCTGGGCGGCCCAGATCTGGCGAGCGCAGCGGCACCGGCTTGGGCGTCGCGGCCCCCTCTCCCTTCCCTTGACGGGATCTGGCACGCGGAGCTTCTGGCGGCGCGGCGCGCCTAGGCTCTGGCAGCAGCCCTGTTCTGCGGAGGTGGCGGTGGTGGGTTGCTTCGTCCGGTGGCAGGCGCCCTTGGGGTGCTCACGGCAGGGTGTGCGGCGGTTGTCCCCGAAGCCTTGCGCGGGGCGCAGCAGGATGGAGGATGCTGGTGGTGCATCGACTCTGACGGTGGCGGCGGTGCGAGCGCAGCCATGGCGGCGGCGGCGCTGCGAGGCCTGGCCAGGAAGGGACTTGGCGGGCAGCGGGCGTTCGGCTGCTGCCGTGTGAGGCGTGCGGCGATGCCTTGGCGGTGTGGGTGCCGGAGTGTGGTCGGAGGTGCGGGTTCTGATCCATTCTGGTGGCAGTCCCCTGGCGCGGGTGAAGGCCACTGTGGCGGATCTGGCTGTGCACCACTCGGTGGTTGCTGCGGTTCCTAGTCGAGGTTGAAGGTGATGGCTTTAGGCGTGTTCCCTCGGCAGTGAGGGGGGCTTCAATGGCAAGTTGCTGCGGTGACGGCGGTGTGAGGCATCTGATCAGGACTGGCCGGGATCTTTGGGACGTGGAGGTGTGCGGTGCTACGGATGAAAATCTTGTTCGGTTGTGGCCGGACCGGCGTTGATGGCACCTACGGGTGTCATTCACCTTTCTGGAGGCTTCGCCGAGTGCAACGCCATCTTCCTCGCGACCTTGTATCGGCAGCTGTCTCTGGGGCGAAAGCCTTGATTCGTAGAATCGGCATGATGGCAACGTCCTTGAGGTTGTTACTCTGTTGGGAGCATTGTGCTCGGAGACTCGAGGTCCCATGATGCGCTCCTCCGGCGTTCACCGCTGCCCAGATCTTTCTCCTTCGGCGCCATGTACGGTCGTCGCCGGCTTATCTAAGGAAGCTGGAGTTGCTGTTCTTCGGAGGTCTTCAGCGTCGGCCGAGACGCGGCAAGGGGTTCGGTGTAGGGCAGGCGTTTTGTGTCGTAGTTGTGTTGTGGTGGTTTTGGTTGTCCTTGTACGATTCAGGTGTGGAGTGGGTCGCCTTCGTTGTTCGCAGCGACTGGTTGACGTTGTTGTATGTCTCATTTCTCTTCTTCTATAAAGCTAAGGTACGCAATTTGCGTACCCTCCAAAAAAATTTATCGTTTTCATCCTGTACGCGAGAAAGCAGAGGAGCTTGGATCAATGACAGACTTTCTTGGCTTTATTTCTGTACCTTGTGGCTGGTGTGATTAGTTTATCTTGGCTTGTAATATTTATCCTTGTAGTAGCTAGCTATTGCTTCACTTATTTTATAAAACATCATATAATCATGCAATCAATTTTCTCCCGTTTTGGGCTTTTGGCAATTGATATATACTCCTTGAGTACAAATTAGTTTTATTGGTAAAAAAATCAAAATAATATCATTGAAGTTTTCATTATTTTTTTACAACCATGTAAATTCATGGGTATAATATTTTCGAAAATGTTAACGCCCACACGTGTGGGCGTCTGACAACTCGCCCACACGCATGGATCACCGTCTAGTAACTTCTGCACGAATCTTGGCACAAATTAGCTGATTTTGTATGTCACGTAGGACAACTCGCGTGTGTGGTGTGTGAGAGAGGTCGTCCACACATCCGTTTTATCACATGGAGGGGCCGGTGTGTGGGCATTTAGAAGTTCGCCCACACACCAGTTTTCAGTCACGCACAAGGGCTGGTGTGTGGGCGTTTTTTACCACACGCCCCACATGTCGGACAACTACAGTTGTCATGTTTGCTCAACTGCAGTTGCCATCTCAGGTCAAAGTTCCAGATTGCCATTTTTTGGACAACTACAGTTGTTGCCATGTGTGGTATGGTCTACTGCAGTTGTCATGATTTCAAAACTTTAGGAGTTGTCACCTACTAACACTAGGCAGTTGCCATGTAGCGCTACAAAAAAAGGCATGGCAAAAAACATGTTCGGGTAAAAGAGAGAATTGCCATGTGCTCACAAGCACGCTAGGGCAGTTGCCATTTAAAAAGAAAGAGTTGTCATCTGCTTACATGCACGCTAGGACAGTTTGCCATGTACCGTGCAAAACATATGGCAACTGACATGTTCGGGTAAAAAAAAGAGATAGTTGCCATCTGCTTGCAATCATACTAGGGCAGTTGTCATGTACACTGCAAAACGCATGGCAACTGACAGCTTGGGTGTGGGAGAGGAGGCGGGTGTATGGGCGAGATGGCAAACGCCCATACACCAGCCCTTGTGCGTGACTGAAAACTGGTGTGTGGACGAACTGCTAAACGCCCACACACACCGGCCCCTTCATGTGGTAAACGAATGTGTGGGCGACCTCTCTCACACACCACACGCGCGAGTTGTCCTACGTGGCATACAAAATCAGTTAATTCATGCCAAGATTTGTGTAGAAGTTACTGGACGGTGATGAAGGCGTGTGGACGAGTTGGCTAACGCCCATGCGTATGGGCGTTAACATTTTCGTTTATGAAATGATAACCTGCAAACTTCTTTGAAAATATTACTGTGTGTCGTGAGCAAAAGTTAGCTAGAGAGATTCAACTACTCCTGTATCTTTTGTATATTTAGGTTATTTCAGTTGATAAATTTGTGTTTGTTATCACTTCAAAATGTTCCTGAGACCCATGAATTGTCAAATATTTTTGGGAACCCTAATGGATGAATTACCCTCCAAACTATTGCTTGGTTGTCCAGGCGATTTTATACCTCTGTAGTTTTAAATAAATAAATAATCAAACAAATTAATTAGCACAGATAGTGCTACATACTGAAAATCTACAAAAATAATAATCACGCGAATGCAACCTTTTTTCTACTGTACAAAAAGATGTTAAAATATATTTACTCTTGACCTTTTCATTTCCCGTGAAGAAAATAGCCAGTTTCCAAAAAAGAATTTACATATCATATTTTGTGTATCCTTATGTGCATATGTAAAATTTTCTATATTCTTGGAACTCTGAATGTTAAATAAATTTCCAAAACCGTGCAAGATTCAAGGTTAAAAGATTTCAGAAAGTCCATAGTTTAATATTGCATGATTTCATAATTTAGACTTTAAATCGGTCGAAGCACTAGTTCCTGCTTAGGGTGAAAAAGAAACGGATGTTTCAGGTGTTTGGCCGAAAGCTTCTAGGTTAGACAAGCAAATGGGTATTCTTAATCCCAACATTTAGGATATGAGACAATATCTCGCACGTTGTTGTGGAAATATTTTGCAATATATTTTTAATAAGAATTGGCTGTGTGAACATCAATATTTGAAGTAATAATATGAAAACTAGAAATGAAAATACATATGGTTTATGGAGTTCAATTATTGTATAATATGAAAATCATAATAGAAGAAAAAAAATCGCATGCATGTGTTTCATGTTGATATGGCCTTTTCTTATAAATGGTTGCATGATGTAGTGGGTCTTTTTTCATGTATGTTGAAAGTTGATGTCATATGCTTGTATGTTGAGAGAAATAGGTGAATGGGAGCTATCTATTTAGATATAGAACATGAGTGGCATCCAACTATTTTTAGTTTTTTTCTGACAAATTCGTTGTATATTTCATACTATGATATCCGAGACAAGTATCTTCCTAAGCCTATTGTATCTCAGTCCACCTCTCATGCATGCCTAGCATATATATGTATCGTATTGTATTTGAAATCTAGCTAGGGCATATATGAACCAACCACTCCATCTACCAACGTTTGCACATCATCAGGTGAAAAACATATACCTATGGTTGATCGGTGCAATTTTAGGAGTCTTGTATTGGGGATATAGTAAGACATATTAGAATATATTTTTATTATCTACAAAATAGCTGGCTAAATATCCATGACCGAGTATGTAACCCACCCCGAGAACTAGTACAACATACAATACATGGACGGCCTGTTTCAGCTCACATTGGCAAAAGACAGCAAACCAACCATCGGTTGGATGGTTAGGCGGACAGTGGTATTCTCAGCTCATCACGGTTCAAAACCTGGTGCTCGCATTATTTATGGATTTATTTCAGGATTTTCAGCAATGTGCTTTCAGTAAGTGGAGATGTTTCATTGACTATGAAGCGTCTTTGATGACTTCGTCAATCTCAAAATGATATGTCACCTCGGTCTCTCCC